TTCACAACCTTCTCATTTGCAGACAGTGTAGTCTTTCTAATTTCTCCATGCCATATCCAATTTGTATACTCAAATTTATCCCATCACAGATAAGATGCTCTTTTATCTCAGAAATACTCCGTCGACTATTATTTAAACATTTGACACAAGGACAATAGTACAATCCATCTCTTTTACTAGGGGCATTTCTCTGAGCAAACTCAAGAAACTTTTCAACCCCATCCTCATATTCCTTGCTAATTCTCTTAGCTTTCATCCAACTACGATCCATTGTTCTACAGATTATTTAAACAACACTTTACTATCAATCAAAATTCATAACGAAAAAAAAAACAAAAAATAACAAACAGATTATTTATTACTAAATTCTTATATTTATTACAAAAAAATTACCAAAAATTCGAAATAAATATAAAAAAATTATTAAAAAATTTAAAAACTTCACAACTAATCAACTCCAAACATTTAAACATGTTTCTAATACAGTATATAAGAAGGAATTAAGGTTTTCTCACATCCAATGCCCACCAATCAACACCAATCAACGGTTCAACCACATAAAAAATGCAAAATGAACAATACAAGCCAACCACAATGTAAAACTAACAAACCCATTTCATATATAACAGATTTTCATGGCCAAAACATTCAACAAACCAAGAAAAATTGAAAAGAATGAAAGAAGAGGATACTCACAGAGCAGAGAAGATTCAAACGCGAAGTGAGGGCGTTCGAACGGCGGCGGACGGCGGCAACACACCACAAGCTCAATGCAGGAGTTTAAACGGTGGGATAGTGGGGGTTATGACTAGTTTTCGGTGGTGGGACAGAGGGGACCACGGCTGAGCAAGAATGACGCGAAATGAGAGGCGTTCGAACCATGGCGGCGGACGGCGACAAGGCACCACAAGCTCAATGGAGGAGTTTAAACGGTGGGATAGTGGCGGGAACGGCCGGTAATGGCAGTTTTTCGGTGGTGGGGCAGAGGGGGACCACGACGCATTGAAGAAATGAGAAAGAAAGTGACGGTCGATGAAGTGAGAAAGGTAAAGAGAACACACTTTCCATGGCGATTTTCTTAAAAACCGCCGTGGAAAATGTAGGCCCTCTTCAACTTATTTACAAAAATGCCACCGTGTTTTTTTCCATGTCATTTTTCTGCTTAACCGCCGTTATTTTGCGACGTTAAAAGTCTTTTTTCTAGTAGTGTACTAAAAACAAATTGTGTGAAAACCATAATTAATAAAATTTTACAATAATTGGGTTCTGGACTTTACGAAGTTCAGAACATCACATTTAATTCTAACCACATAAAATAATATTTTTTGGATAAAATTCTTCCAAACCAACAGTAATTAACTATTTTTGAAAGTTATTATAGATCTACAACTCACAAACACAAGCAAACCCCTGGAGATCTCTAGCCTCCTACCAGTATGCAATCCAGTAACAAAAGTAACTAAAACAATTAGTTTTAGATAAATCAAAGTACACAAAAAGAGCTATATGTGACAATATACTAATACTCATCACATGACAAAAACTTGATCACTAAGCCTTCGCTGCCTTTCCTAATGGACCAACCCTGGAGCTGTTACCTGAAAATGTTAAACCACGGAGTGAGACAAAAGTCTCAGTAATCAACAATCTTACCTATCAAGCATACAAGTAAGTACTTGGGAGGTGTTAAGTGGGACAGTTACAGAAATCATAACATTTACAATTGTCACACGGTTATAGATATATATATATATATATATATCAAAATACAATATCTCACTCACAAGTCCACCTTATTTCCTCACACCTTATTTCCTCTGACTGAACTCATAGGCTAGTACTGACCCATGTGACTGGTAGCTCAACACAACAAGCTCACTAATCAAGTGATGTAAATAGGCCCAAATCCACAAAGTACAAGACCGGACCATGGGTTTCCCTCTAGTCCACTAGCGGGGTGTCATATGCCTGTAACACACGAAAGGGCTGAAGGACTAACCAATGTATATCTAGCGTCCCACTATCTTATTACCTCTATAATATATACAAAATTCACCCCCTTATTTCCTCTGCAATATGCCTCCCATCAATCAATATTCATTATCTCCTCTCATATTTATACTCATGAGATTTATAAAATAATTATTTACCAATAACATAATAACTTTCACATTTACCAAAATCAAGATTTCTAAATTTCAATAATTAATATCAATTCTCAAAACTATTTCTCAATAAATTCATATCCCACATGACAACTTTATAAATTCATAATTTCATAAGTATTTTTCAATGACATGAAGTATCGCAATGCAATTTCAATAATAATACATTTTATTGCTCAAATCATATCCTAATGGTATTTCAAGAATCTCATATAATTCAAAATCACTCATAAATATCATACAAGCATACGTAACAAGTGGAAAGTGGTTACTTTTCACCAAAGCTATAAAAAGGATTACCACAAAGTCAACCCGTACTCAAACTAATAATCCAATAATTAATTCACACAATTAATATAACCATATATTAATATAAGCTAATTAATTAAGCTTATATATATTAGTTAAATTTCTAATTTAATTTAATTTAATTTTTATTCTAAATTCTCACAGCTCTCATTACCCAAAATTAAGTATTTTAGAACTAACTTATAAATTTTCTAACAAGCCAAATTATTCATTTACATTCTTCGGATTATTTACTTTAATAAAAAGAATTTTTCAAAATTTTTCAAATGTGAAATTATTATATTTTAAATTCTAAAATTCCCATTTTAAGTTTGAAGCTCAAAACCAAACCATCAAAAATTCAATAGTTCCTCAAATATTTATAAATAAATAATCTAATCAAAATTTTAATGGTATAACTATCAGATTTTTTTTACAAATAATAGAATTTTAGCTAAAATAATTATTTTAGAACCTCCATTCACCTAATAAATAAAACTAAATCGATTAAAATGTCAATAATATGTCAAACAACCCAAATAAATTATTTAACTTAATTTTGATCGGTATAAATATGATATATCTCATAAAGAACAGATTTTTCAACTAAAAATTTTTTTAAAATACTAAAACTAACAAATGGATAAATCTAAACTGATTAAAATTAACTACTCATTTATCTCTAAATCTTTATGATAATCTATTATCAAACTCAATACTTATCCCATACCTAAATCTCAAAATTTTCTTTAATAACTATAGTAATACTGTCATTAAAAAGCTTAAAATATATATAAAAAATACTTATGAAGAAAGTTTGATAAAAAGAAGTAATGTTATATACCTAAATGATTCCCAAATGCTTACCTTATCCTTTAAAAAGCACGTATGCTCAGCTTCTCGCTCGCTCTATGTCTTTTCCTCTTTGCCTCTCATTCTCTTTTTCTCTACTCTGTTTCTCGCCCTCTCTTTCTCGCCCTCTCTTTCCTTTTTATTAATCACTCCTCCCTTTATTTATCTCGTGCAACCACCTACTCTTTTTTTTGTTCATTCTTAATTACTTTCAATCTCCCCAAATTTCCACTGTCAGCAAATGATGGGTGGGGGTTTCTTTTTTTTAATTATAATAATAAAATATTATTATTTTATAATAATAATAATAATAAAATATTATTATGTTTTATATTATTATATTTATTTATTTATTTTACATAAATCCTAAAATAAAATTTAGGATGTTACAACCAACATAAACAAAGCATCCAAATTTTAATCAAAAAAAGGTAAGGGCAAAATTTAAACTATGGAAATAAAAGCAAGCAATTGCTTAACATGAATAACCAATATCTAAATGTGAGTAGTCATTGAAACAATAGAAATAAAAATAGTTAATAGCTTAACAAGAATAATCAATATTTATATAAGATTAGTCTTTAAAATTTTAGGAATAAAAATAGTCAATAACTTAATAAGAACAGTCAATACTTAAACAAAGTAGTTATTAAAATTATAAAAACTAAAATATAGTTTAACAAGAATAGTTAATACTTTTACAAGAGTAGTCATTAGTATTCGTGTAATTAGCACTTTAGCCACAGGCCACAGGAGCTCCAGTGGCCCACCAGGTGCTAAGGTGACATATGAAAAAAAAATTTGTAAGGATAGGTTTTTTAATGTCACGGATATTGAAATGCTAATTTCATACTTTGTCACCAATTTGTCTTTTTTTTTTTTTTGGCTGAATGTCACCAATTTGTCATTTGACATATTGGCATCATCTTTTTTGCACTTTAAAATTCAAGTAGTATTTTCGCATCTATTTTTTAATGAAATTATTCGTGAAAATAAAATAAGGATTAATGTCATTATTGGCCTTTGCAGGTTCATTGAATTTTAATTTTAATCTTCATAGTTTTAAGTTGTTAGTTTTTGTCCTCATAGTTTTGTAAGGACTGAGTAAAGTTAACTATAAGGACTAAAATTAAAGCTCATTTAACGTATATTCATTAAACTCATACAAAATCTTTATGAAACAATATGATTTGAAACTGCAAAGACTTTTGGCCGGAAAAACTACAAAGAGTTAAACCAAAAGTTAAATAAACGGAATAATAATAATATAATAATATTATTATTAATTAGTTGTTATTATTATTATTATTAACCCGCGAAATAATCATTACCAATGTGATGAGTAGACCGATAAAAATCGCAATTGTAAAGAAATTAAACACTAATGAACAATACATTTACAATAAGGTTATTTAAATCTAACAAGATACATTGATTGAACATATAATAATAATTATAATAATTCTTTCCAATGTACTTTATTGAATTCTTTATACTATTATTGACGCTAAGTTGCAATTTTCAAGTAAGTAATATGATCTTTGTTAAATTAACGATTAATAACTAATTAATAATTGATAAATTATAAATAATTAATGAATTAATTAAGTTGTTTAAAGGCCAATTGTATATTAGGCTATAAGCTTCTTTTTTTTTTTTTTTCAAAAGGCTATTAGCTGAAGTGATAGCGGGAAGACGAATTCGCATTGTTCCCGCCATTTGGAAACCCTACCTTCTGTCAATATTCAGTGTCAATGATTCGAATTCCCAAAGCAGCGAAGTAATCTGATAGACAAAGATGGCGGAAGAAGGGAAAAATAGCTCGATGCGACCAGAATTTCCGACTGGTCGAGTGAAGAAAATCATGAAGCTTGATCCAGAAGTCCAGAGAGTAAGTTCAGAAGCCTTGTTCCTGGTATCATGCTCCACCGAGCTCTTCCTCCGATTCCTGGCTGAAAAGTCTGCCCAAGTTGCCATCGAGAAGAAGCGCAAGACTGTGAAGCTTGAACACTTAAGAATGTCCGTCAAGAGGCACCAACCGACCAGCGATTTTCTGCTTGATTCGCTTCCTCTGCCCTCTCGGCCCGTTGATCGCCCGACCAAAGATCGGAGGCAATCTGGCCCTGATGGTGATAAGCTGCCTCCACCTGGCACTCGACGTATCGATCATTTCTTTCGAAAGCCAGAAGAAGAAGCACCAGAACCTAGAGACGAGCCTTAGGTTATGCCCAGACGGAACAAACAAGAAGGGGGCAGAGAGAGGTATTTTGCTTTATACCGTGACTCAAGCGGATAGACTTTGTAAAAGCAAGAAGATGAGATTCAGACCCCCATAAACAGATGTTCTCTTTTTACGACGTTATTAGATTAGTTTAGCTTGGTTTTTGGATTAAGATTATAATGCGCATATTTTCTGAAGGGATACTATATATGTCCAGCAATCCAAGAACGACCTGTTTTCAGAATTGTAAGAGGAGATTTGTAATTTGATGTCAACTTGCTTAATATAATATTGATGCACATCCCTTTTGATGTTTCCTTCCATTGGGCATACACTTACACTATAAATATTGCTGGAAGATTTGATTCTTTAACTCATTTGGCACCTAAGCCTATGGTAATATTGGGTATTCATCTGCAAAAACATAATCTTTATTTGAACTTCTTAACAGTGACACATTTTTTTGTGTATGCTACCTATGGCGCATTGTGGACAGCTAAACCATGCGGGACTGTGATCTACATAAAGCTATACATTTTATATTTTACATAAATGAAATTCCTTTCGTTAAGCCAGATGTTTTGGATCTTAGGAATCATGTGATGATTGCTATTTTAAGAACCGTTTCAAAGTTCTGTACTATTTATGGTTTCAGCATGAAATTGAAGTTCTCTGAACAAAACCCTTTAACTGGAAAAATGGTTTTAGCTAGAGCAAATATTTATACCAATATGATTCATGAACACTGAACAATAACTTGTTCTATTGGCACTTGATACCCAGCTCAAGGCTATTTATTTGTGTGCAGCATGTGCAAAAACATGAATACATTTAAATTTCTTTTACGTAACAAACTTCAAATTTATTGTTACAGGTCTACAATAGTTTTATGGAAAACAAATTTCAGTCATAACCTATGTTTCTTGTAAAATAAGAAAAGGAAGGTGATAAAGGTCTAGCGTAGATTGACAAGTGACAACAGCGAAGAGATCTCATCTCTGATTTGAAAATGAGAAAGAAGGCTTGGTTTGGTTGACCGAAAATCTGCTTTTTGTTACCTTCTTGCCATCCTTGAAGAAGGACATGCCTTCGTTCTCTGAATTTATCTTATTTCATTCCAGTTGTTGGGTACCTAGAGCAAGCCTTCTGTTCAAGGGTGTTGTGTATTCTAGTCCTCCATTCACACTTTTAAACTGAAGACGCCTGCTGCTGTCACCTGCTCTGGAAGCATGTATGTTACCTTGCTGATGAACTACTAACTGGCTCTGAACTTTCTTCTTTCCCTGCCGGTTAAGATAGAATCATAAAAGAGGAGGTAATAATAAAGTTATAGCCAGAATTCAGTATTTGTATGTTTTGAATTTATGTGTGAATTTGTCACTGTACTTCAAGAAACGAACCTGTTGTCTTTTCTTCTCCTCTTCCTTTTCCTGCCTTACCATGTAATAATCTTCCAATATTGCTAATAAAGGTGCCTAAAAATAGGTGCAATTTATTCTGTCAGGAAACAAAATTAAGTAGGTCATAATTAAGCAAAACGTAACATCATTTGACTTATGAAAAACTCAAACCATTCTGTGTCGAGCTAACTCATGCTGGAACAGCATAATATGGTTGGCTTCTTGGAATTCTTAAGGCTTTTGTCATCATGTGAGGCATAACTTTCTGGTAACTGTTATTTTTTTCATCAAAAGGTGTAATTAGATGGCTTATGGCAGTAGTTTATTTCATCTATGTTATAAGCTCCTGTAACTGGGGCGTATTTAATAACAAGAGGAACTGGGAGCTATATTGTTGTTGTTTATACGTGACAGGAAAGGTTAGAGTATACTATAGCAACTTTCTACTGTTCCGACCAAAAATTATGCTTTATGTTTGATTGCTTGATGAAAAAATTCTATATAAGGTCGTTAATATTAGTTATCCTCTGAGTTTTAATATGCTTTTCTTTGCTTTGTTTTTGGTCTAATTTTTCTGAGTGTATATCTTTTTCCACAGCAAACTCAAACATTTAAGAAAAAAGCTTAGGCGTTGGTGTTGAATAGTACAAATTTTTTCCTTTTTCAAGCAGTCATAATAAAATTTCTTTTAGTTCTATCCACTTTCATATATGATTATCAGTTAGTTCCCACCAAGCTTGCGTCAGGAACATTAGCTATGCCTTGAACACTGCAGTGCATGGAAGCCACTTGTATATGGGGATTCTGTGGTTGCGTGAAAACTTGTAACGTTTCAAAACGTTGCAAAATGTAAGTTGTTTTACCTGATCGTACAAGAAAACTTTGTTTCTCTCTTCTTCCCAACTCTTGGTCATCGCCATTAGCATTTCTACCAAAGCTGCAAATGAGAAATAATGTGAAATTTAATGATTAGCTAGTTTCCATTTGGCCCAAGTTCCATATCATTATGGTCTAATTCTACGTACCTGGTATCCTGCTGACCATTATTCGGGCACGCTCAGCCCGTCTCAAGTTCTTGTGAGCTCCTCTACTGACTGAGTATCGGTTTTCATCCTGTAGCCACACTTGGATAGTGAACATAAAGCAGATGCAATCATGAAATCTTACTCATTATGAAGATTGGTGAATAATGAAATTCTAACCCTGTTATATTCTTCGAGCCACCGCTCCTCATCACATGCTAAAATCCACTTTTCCACTTTCTCCATTATAACCTTCCTGCTAGCAGCCTCTTCTTTTACTCTTGATATCTGTTCACCCATGCTCTTGAGGAGATCGGAATGTTCAATCTCCCCTTTCGTACATTCAAGTCAATTCCGAGGCTGATTATGTTTAATACATTGTCACAATTTTTAATGACAGACACATTGCCTAGACTCACCTGAGTTTATAAGGTTGAAGATCTTATTCATCTCCGACTGTGTAGGAATCTCCATGTGCGATTTTTTACATATCTGCCCAAGTTCTTCCTGTTTCTTCAAAAATATCTCTTTCATTTTGCTTGCTTTTAACTGATCCAGTCTCTTGACTTCAGCTTCAGCCTTAAAAAAATCAAGACCTTGTAATATTGGAAGATTTCTAATGTTCTGAAAATCATCAGGGTTATGTACTGACCTTCTGGACTATGTCTAGGGAAAAAATTCCAGGATCCAGTGCTTTCAATGATGGAACTGACGACAAGCCAGCTATATGGGAAAAAGGCAGTCGATCATCATTTGGTGTATCCATGAGATTCCACAAATTTGTCAGTGCTTTACCAAGATAGTGAAGCTGCAGTTATATCAAGAAGAGCACAATTTCTAAAAATCTAATATTAAAAATCAAAAGAAACTACAGTAGACTGAGGGGATTGTTTTACATGTAAATTTACTGACGTTGGGTCTATTGAGCAAGATTTCTTTGAATTCCTTATGATTTTGTGGTTTTCTATGCATTGATTAAATATCATAACTACTGCCTGCTGTAGTTGAAGTTGCACTCGTAATGTTGCTAACTCCCAGCCTATCACCTGTAGGTGATGCGGCAAAGCTGAAAAGTATCAGTTTACCTTGTCAAGCCGATTTTGCTTTTCTTCCATGAGGGACTCCACTGTGCTATTGAGTTTAGACAAGATAGTGTCACTTATGTTTTTTGACATTCCCTTCACATCACTCAAGCCTGGATGAACTTTGCTTATTATTGCGGGGGAGTCCTTCCCCAAGATGTTGGACAAGTTATGGATCACCTCTATATACCTCTCTACCTTCTTTAGTCTTTCGTTCTGCAAATATGAACAAAACAATGATAATAACCACAAAGTATCACTGGTTTGAGATTTGGGAAGAGGAGCACAGACTAATGTTTAGTGTTTATTACCTTCTCCTTGTAGAGCCGTTGCAGCTCAGTCTGATACTCGTCAAGTTTTTTCAGTGAAAGATCACTCTCGTTTACAGCAATGCTTGATGTTGCTTCTTCGGATTTACCTGCAATTTCAGCTTTTACTTTTTGTATTTGTTCTTGTACAGCTCGGAACTGGTTTAGCCTCTCTTCTTTCCTCGAGCACATCTCCTGGAGTGCTGGCGTGATGGATTTCAATTGCTCTTTCAATGTTCCTGCTCTTTTCTCTGGCTGTTCAGGCAAGATTACATAAGTTTTTAATGGCTAATAATGCCTCATTGCAGGATACTCTAGAGACAGTTTCAGAGCATTTATCATTGTAAGTCTCATTTATTTAAGAACTATGAATTCTTACACTGTTGTGTTGCTAGCTAGTATTGTAAGCGAATGGAATAAGAAAATGTAGTGGCTTCGAATGACAAGACTCTTAGTTAAAAGTTAACAATTAACATTGCTCTTCTTTTCTATACAAACTCTAGAATAAGTGACATATGAAACAATATCTATTATGCTTGTAATAAATGCAGGTTCTGATGGGTTTTATCAAGTAATTAAAGTGAGTACAGAGTAGCTCTTTTACCCATCCAGGAAAAGATCGTTCACCAAGAGTCAAAAGAAGATGGGTGAATTCAGCCTCTGCTTCTACCAATTCCTGATGAAGACGAGCTCTGGAAATATTTGCCCTGTCTACTTTTCTCCTATAAACTTCGAGGCACTCTTGCTCCAAATCCAGCAAAATCTTCTCTCTCTCAAACTGATCTTCTCCAACTTCATCCCATATTTTCTGGCTCATTCCACATCAGAAAAGGAAAAAGAAAAATCAGCTGATAAATACCCTGCAGCATAGTGAGTCGTTACTTAATCTAAGGAATTTTATATGCTACTTACCTGCAATTCTTGTAGCAGAAACCCACATGAAGTTTCCACCATTGAAGAGGTTCTCACTCCAATTGGTGTCTGGTATGAACCCATTTTGATGTTTGGTACTGTTCACTGAAGATGGAACTCAAATCAGTGAGAAGTGAATTTTCCAGGACAAACAAGTAAAGGAAGGATGAAAGAGGAAGCTGGGAAAGAATGTTCTGGTGTAAGTGGTGGGAGCATTGGGTATAAGTTTTTGCTTAAAAGACAAGGATGACAGAGGTGGGTAATGCAAGCCTTTGGGTTCAAGAATCGTACGCATGTTTATATTGATCCTCTCAACTTTTTTCCCCCTTCCGTATGGTTGAAATTATAAATATAACTGTCTCTTCTTTAACCTAAAATTGATAGACTTTCGTATTCAGAGATGTGATATGTGATTTCCACTTCGCCCTTTGGATCATTCATCATGTGACTAAGGTCTTGATTCCTACGTTAACAATGTCAAAAGCCAGAACCCTGTTATTTCCATTGTACATCAAGCAATGACACTAATCAGTTAGTTGGACATCCTTATCACTTTCTCTAATGAGCTACAATGCCATGTGTATAGTCGCATATAATGAATGTTACCGTTTATAGTGGTGCGGCTTCTTAGAAATTTTAAACACATTGATAAATATATTTTTTTAAGGTGGATTTCTCTTCTCATCTATTAGTTATGCTATTTTCAGATGTGAAAAATGGGTTTATTTTATACTCCATTTGTTCTTTTTTATATAAGAGATAATTTTTGGGTATGACCTAAAACTTAAGAGATTGTCTTCAATTTTTTTTGTTAAGTTTTCATTTTACCACCATTTAATTACCCATATTAATATTATCAATGTGATTCGATTAGTTATCTCTTATAAAAATGAGGCGACCAGGGTTTTACAAATAGGGATAGAACTACATTGATTGAGAGACAGTTTAAACCACCCCCCTTTTTTTATAGTAAGATTTGTTTTCCCCTTTTAGCTTAGTAATTAAGTTAAGTAGTATTTCGTATATTTGAAATTAAAATATTGAACTTGGCTTTGACTAATCTGAACCATGAAAACGTGTAATTGAATGATTGATTTAACCCAAAAGAGGGAAGATTTAGATACCAAGAGTGCAAACATCAAAAGACATCATAAAATAAAATATAACAATATGGGATTCTTTTATAAGCTGGAAATGTAAAAGCAATTACATCAAAGAGATCAGCTTTCTTTAGCCCGTAAAGAAAGCCATCAGGCTCTTAACATGTAATCCTCCATGCTTGGACAATGATCTGGTGGTCCAAATTTGAAAAATAAATAAATAAAAACAATAAAAGAGGCAATGATTTGTTGGATTCCAACACAACGTGCCAGCACTACACCTTAGCTTTCAGCCATTTTTAATTTATGTAAATGGATACAAAATTATCAATCAATCAACTACATCCTTGAAATCTTTTAATACCCGATTAATTTGAAAATGGGTCGGGTATAACATTATGGATCAGAATATATACAATTAATGAGATCTAAACAATATATTGATTGGAATTTGAATATGTTATATTAAATAGGGAGGATTATAATCAAATGAGGCTTCAATTGGAGGCTTAAATGAAAAAAGTAATAATTCATTTCATATTTGAATAATGTCTTAATTGACATTTGAATATATTGAATTAAATAGGGAGCATCATTAGTAAATAAGATTTTAATTGGAGGCTCAAATGAAAAAATTAATAATTAATTTTGAATTTGAATAATATCTTAATTGGGATTTGAATATATTAAATTAAATAAAAAGAATCATAATTAAATAATAATTTAGTTGAAGGTTTAATTGAAGAAATAAATAATTAAGTGAATATTGAGCTACTTAAAATAATGCAATGTATTAGAATTTCAAATCTAATCAAATACAGTAATATAGTGCATTGCACACAGGAAAGAAGTTTCTAGTTTTCATTCTAAATGATGTGAAAACAATTTTAGGCCAGCGAAGGGTGTGAAATAAGTTTGCACTTTTGTTATTTTGAGTTCTCATCACACTATTAAAATCTAATCTAGATTGACCTGGTAGCTCAGTCAACTGGTGAGCTAATTTTTTGCTCGGTTTGGTCAAAAGTTTTGGATGAGTTAATTAGTTTAGATTTCATTTGTTTTTTATGTTAATAAACCTCAAACAATATCGTTTTAATTTTTTTTTAAAAAAAGAAAAAAATAGCAGTATGTCAGATTTATGCTATAATAAAGCTGTTTATTGAATTGTACATTTTTATATATAAATATTTATTTTACTTGTGAATTAATATATTTTTTATATATGAATATGTTTATATAATTATGTTATATTATAAAATTTGGTTAACTTATTTTAATATTAAAAATTTTAGAACTTTCCAAAATTACTCTTAAATTAAAATTAGGGATAATACAATTTTTTATCCCTAAAGTTTGTCTTCATTTGAGTTTTGGTTTCTTAATTTTTAAATCATATTGCTTCCTCAAATTTCTTTTCATTTAAAACATTGGTCCTCATAGTTCAATAAAATCTTGAAACATTTTATTCTTTGAAAGACCAAAACCCACGGTTTAAAATTTGAAGAACCAAAAATACAGTGAGGACAAATTTGAGAAACCAAATATTATATTAATGCTTAAAATTAGGAAAAATTACAATAAGATTCCACTTTAGAGAATTAAATACAAAAATATCATTTAAAATTATTAAATTAATCTGAAGTCCAAGGGACCTCATTGTAAGAGATTCTATTTTTTTAATTACTAAATTGTTCTTGTCTTTTTTTTTAAAAAAGTATATATTGGCAACTAAAAGTGCAGTTATTAACAACTTAAGGTGTAATGATTAACAACCATTACGGCAGATATTGACAACTTATAGATTATATTTTTGTGATGCGTTAAGAAAATGTGTTGTTAATATCTGCTGCGATAGTGGTTAATTGTTACACCTTAAATTGTTAATGACTACTTTTTCGGTTGTCAATGCATACTTAAAAAATAATAATTTGATAATTAAATAAATAAAATCTTTTGCAATGAGGTCCTTGAGACTTTAGAATAATTTGATGATTTCAAGAGATCTTTTTGCTTGAGCGGGACCTTATTGCAATTTTCCATTAAAATTATTATCCGAAGCTAGACTAAAAGGAATTTTACATAGTCTTTGCATTAAAAATTAATGAGTAAGATCTTATAAATAGCGTCGAAAGAAGTAATTTATTTTTCTCTGACCAGAAAACACCCCAACACGGGACAACTAAATGGATAAGTATATTATAATTCATGAAACTTTTGTTTTCTTCTTTTCTTTTTTGAAAGAGAAACAATTAATTAATATACAATTATTTTTACCCGTTAAAAAACTACATCAATTACTAATAAGAATCACTCTTATGTTCACACTTTCGAGGAATATTAAAAAGGGTGAAAAATTATACTACCTCCGGTCTTTAATATAAGACATTGTTTGACTTTTATTTTAGTTCTAAATATAAGATCCTAATCTACTTTGTCTATCATATTTATACATTTTTTTCCAAGATAGTCCTTCTAACAATTATAGTTCTGACTAATACACTTAATTAGTAAGGATATTTTAGAAAATACAACACTTATTTATTATAAATAACTAACTTAACTTCTTTCCTTAATCTCCTCAAACTAGTCAACTAGCTCTTATAATTAGGACTGGAGGTAGTAATACTTTTGGTTTTTAATATAAGAACTAGTTGACTAATTTGAGTAGATTAAGAAAGTTTATTAACTTAGTTATTTGTAATAAATAGGTGTTATCTTTCCTGGAATATCTTCACTAGTTATGTGTATTAGCTAAAACTATCATTTGATAGAATATTTAACATGTGTAGCTACTACAATGATTGATTTATAAAAAATGAATAAATATAAAAGACAAAGTAGATTGTGATGACCAAATTAAATGTCAAATTAGCTTTTATATTAAACACTGAAAATAATAAGATGATAAAAAAACAAATATAATAGATATTATATGAATTTAAGTTTATTATCAAGATACCAAACATAGTATTTGTTGTTTTGCCACAGGGATTGATTGTTGCAGAGTAACATCATCAAATTCCTCATCTTTGGCTGCTACATGAATTGGCTTCTACTTTCAAACATGACTCATCTTCCTCAATCATCAACTCTACCAAAAGCCCTACTATTGCCTCCTCTTTAGTGTGTGAGGATTAGATAATTAGATAAGTTATAGGGGGAAAAAAAATACTTTTTGGTCTTTATAATTGTAGTCAATTTTGGTGAAATTTTTTATTATCATCCATCATTATTATATCATTTATATATCATTGGTGACATGTCATTTTGAAAAACCCTACTGAAGTTTATCATAATTCTGGGAAGTTATTCCTTAATCAAATATTAACATGAACTTGATTCAAGTTGACCACAACTTGGAAAATCAAAAGCTATATTTTCCCAAAATTATTATGTTAAATAACACTATGATTGGGGGGGGGGGGAAAGAAGAAGAGTATATATAAAAAAAAAAAATGCATTCATCGCTCTAATACGACCAAATTTAACTATTATTCCCTCCAATTTCTATTTAAAATACCCTGCCCATAGTTTTTAATGCGATCCCTTTTAACAAAATTTAATGAGACACTTGTGACTCACTTGTAAAAAAGTTATAGTTAACTAATTTTAGCTACTTTAATTAAAATATGAAGAAAGTGGAAGACAGGAAGGTGGTATTATTTATGTTTTGAGCATATAAGATCCATCATGGCTGGAATTAAGCTATTGTTGCATATAATAATAGCAGTTTCTTTTCACATTAATATCCACAAATCATGTGTGTAATTAAAGGCCAAATAAAGGAAGCTTTCAATTTAGGCCATCAAGTTAATTATGTAAACTTTTCGTCTTACATTAATGATTGAGTCAATAAGTATCGCCACTGACCTTTTATTTTTTCATCACTAAACCTGCACTCATAAGACACATTTATAAATCGACTTATTGGTAGTTAGCCACATTATCTCTCTTCAAATATATTTGTTTCAATCTTTCCACTTAATTAAAAAAAAGTTAACGATACTGATGAGCGTCTAGTACTCCTCCAGTTCTTAATATAGAATCTAATTATTGAGTTGATTTTAATTTTGAATGTAAGACCTAATTATCATATTTATCAATTTTTTTTAAATTATCCATATTGATACTCCATCAACTATAATCAAGTAGGAGAGGGAGTGAGGACATTAAAAAAGATGATTATAGTATTTTAAAAAAAACATGTTATATTTCTTATAATTAACTAACTTACCTAACTTTCTTAATCTAATCAAATTAGTTAAATAGGTCTTAATAATATTAAGGACTGGAAGAGTATTTTTTTAAAAAAAAAAATTATTCTGTAAGTTGTCTTGCTTGACACTTAAAACTGCAAACTTGAAAAAGAAAAGAAATCTGTGTCATGCATCAATAATTATGTTTCAGGCCCAAAACAAAGAACCCCTAATTGAGCTGGCCCAATACTTTTTCTTAACCAGCATATTGAATTCTATTAAAAAGAATTGTCTAATAAAAATGACTAATTCCTCATGAATCAAAATTCAATTCCAAGAGATGTTCACATTTAATGCTCAACAGGATTTTAAATAGTTTTGCGTAGCCAAAAAAAATGATTGTTTGGAAATTTGATACTTATGCAATATGACCTGGTTCAAACGTGATTAGTATAGTACCTTTTAAAAAAAAAGAAGAAATCTTCATTTTTAATGTTATTGTATCTATTTAACTTCCAGGCAAGAGAATCACGCTGTTCCTTATTTGAGAAACTTGAAAAGATTACGAAACCAACACAAAGGTCAAATTAATTAATAACAGAGGTCATAACAGTAATGACAATTGGAACGAATGGTAAAGATCCAACCCTTCAAGTCTTGATGTGAATGAAAAGAAAGGAGAAAAAACACATTAGAAATATCTTCTCTCAATTAGGATCCGACCCAACTTGAATTCATATTAATCAATAATACTCCTCCGGTCCTTATTATAAGACCCAATTTGACTTTTTATTTGGTTATTAAGACCCAATCCATTTTGTCTCTTATATTTATGCATTTTTTTCCAAAATAATCCTTCTAATAATGATAGTTTTAGCCAATATACTTAATTAGCAAGGATATTTTAGGAATGATAACACTTATTTATTATAAATAACCAATTTAACTTACTTCCTTAATCTCCTCAAATAAGTCAATTGGGTCTTATAATTAGGACCGGAGGAGTACCAAATATCAAATAATTTAGTACTAATAATAGGGGACCTGGTTCTTTACATCAATGGAACTACGTCACTCTTTAATATTTTAGGGTTAAAAATTGATATGTTTTGTAAAGTATCAATCATTTAGTTGTTCAATGATTCATTAGTTATTCTTTTTTCAGAGAACAACATATGAACAAGAAAGATAATAAAAGGAAAAAAAAATGGCCTTACATATACCAAGCTCTAAAACTAATGAATCAATTAGAAAGGAATTCCCATGAAAATATCTTCAGCACTTGATAAGTTCAATCATTAGTGCTATGATAAAAGTTGTGAGATACTACGACTTACTATAGAGAGATAAGGCTTTCCTAAATATCAGAAGGGTGGTTTTCTGTCACCGTCAAGTGTCAACAAAGAAGACTGTAAGAAGGCATGTCTTCAATTCGAAGGACATCGTCCATCAATAATTCTTTCTCAAGCTGGACCCGAGTGCATTTCAAAATATCCTGTAAATTGACAGGAACACCATTATATCATGTCTAATTTAGGACACTATTGGTTTTACACTGAAAACCATCAAATGGTTTGATAGAAGCAAGTAGTTACTAGCTTCATTAAGTTTCAATGGGGAAAATACCACACCAGATTTCTATACTTTAGTCATGATTTGTATTTAGTCCCTGTAGTTTATTTTCGTGGTTCCCCATCCCTTTATTTGCTTGCTCCTTGTGAAACATTAGTCCTTATATTTCTGGGAAATACTCAGAAGAACCATGAGTTAGCACAAACAGTGAATTTTGCTGTGGTGGACTGGATACCGTTAAATGCATCATATGACTGGGGAAAAATGATAACCTGGCGGCAAAAAAAATGCTCACTTCATATCAAAATTTAGGTCAGACATTTGTTGGATGCCCTAATGGGTTTGGTGGTTATTTCTGTCATGCAAGAGCGTTAAAGTTGTAAATACTTTGTTGAGCCAGGTCATGGTCCTTCTAAGCATTTTCGAAATTAAAAGATTAATATTTCAGACGGAACAAATAAAATGAATGGGAAATCACAAAAATAAACTATAAGGAGTGAAAACAAAGCACGATTAAAGTATGGGCTTGGAGTAGTATTTTCTTCTTTCAATGCAAGACCAAACGTGCATTTAGCCGCTTTGATATATAATAAGAATGTATAATCTTCATACAAAGTGAATTCTTACGTTAAACTCCATATATGTAGCATTTCTATCCAGCCATAGTTTGTCCATAACCACAAAAGCCACACAGTAAAGCAAGTCAAATGCCCACTCATTTTCTGTAATTGCACGACAATATCACGAGCATGATCAGACACTAGGGAATGTGCATGTCATGAAAGATATTACGTAAAAATTGGGTTCAACTATCGATCAATTCAACAATAAAAGGATACTGATTCTAACCTGAAAGCATCTGCAGAAAGATTGGTCTGACAAAAGACCTGGGTTTAACTGCAAGTGAGAAATACTACCCTGCATCAGGAATCTGAAAACAAATTGAAAAATTCTATGTTCATCCCCTTAAAGATGATCATGATCTGTTTAATCTGTGTCTTCCTGCAGATTTGAACCTCGAGGCTCACGTTTAACGGTTTAAGCACGTGAAAACCAATTTTTAACTGAGTAACTTATCGCTCAAATAAATTCTTCTCAGAGTAAAATGCACTAATAATAGTATATAAGACAAAAGGGGCATAACGTACTGGCATCAAGGTCCAGCATTTGCATAATCATGAACGTGATATTTACACCAGCAACGGCAAAGGGATACTCCCATGAAGCTCCTCTTTCTCCTTGCTTCTTTAATAGTCGCTGAAAAGAAGTCTGCAACATATAATAGGAAGAAACCTATTCCATTTTTAGAGTAAAATTTTGAGCAGAGAAAATATATTATTTCAAAGAACATGGTCAACATTGCACAGAAGAACTGGCAGTGAGCTCCGAATCCTTTTTCTTAAATAGAAAAGTGGTACCACCAAAATGAAGACAATATCCAGTATAGGATCTTACTGAGAATGTCTTGGCAAAAAACAGGAGGTTCTCCAAGGAAATGAAGCCAGCTCCTCTGTTCAGGTAAATTGGTCAAGTAAAGCAGAGCAAGCAAGTAAACCAAGTAAGATTAGAATGAAATCAATAAAATGGATGATGGAATAACTAGAACCTAAAGTCAGTGGATGGATCTCGTCCTTGCCACCCCATTTCTTTCCATTGATCAGATATCAAACCACGGAGTTCCTGACCAGGGAATGTGGCACACCACAGAGCTCTCAAAGCCTCCTATCCTTAAAAAATGTTACCAGATGAGTGACTTCCAACAAAAAGGCTAAAAACGTGAAAAAAAATCGCTTAAAAAAAATAATAAAAAGTTGCAATAATACTATAGTCAGATTCAGCCATCAGTTTTTCCATGTCAATTGCAGCATAATACGGATAACACAAGATATATGTGTAAATTGTAAAAAGTTATAAACCTGGTGATCTGGCCTGGAGGCATCAAAGTAAACTTTCATCCTGTGCTTCAATCTTCTCAGTCTTTCCTCCTGCAAATTTTGCACAAAACTGATCTTTGTTGAATGATGGTGACAAGCAAGTATGCTCAAAAAGGATGAGAACTTCAAATATAAAGTCATTTATCATTATGAAGAACATGGGACATTTCAGGAATACAAGTTAAGTGAAGCCTAAGAGGGACGATGCAGTTATTTTCAGAAAAATAAGATTGCATCTGATATTACTTCCTTTGTGAAAAGTGTTGAGACCAATCTGATTCCAAAGTTTCCAATTAATTTTAAACACATATCACGATAACCAGAGAGTCTTTGAGGTATTTTGCACTAATAAAACTACATCACTCGAACAGAGAAGAGCAGGAGGAAACACATAGAAAGTAGAAACAGACACTATCCAACCACTCGAGCCTATACACAAATATCAAATCGGACAAACTGCCATCGTCAAGCACTGCTACAACAGTAACTTAGAAACTAGAAAGACATATTTCTTTTTCCCCATCTACATAATGATGACAAAAAGACACTAGAAACCACTACAAATCAGGAAACATGTATCAAGGTTGCTCAACGGATGACAAACAGTTCAATGTTACCAAAAATCAGATGATACATTTAAAAAATACATAATATTAGGTTTTAAATATGCAGAATTCCGGAGTCTAACTTGCTAGTTACTCACCTGTAAAGGGGTCAAGCTAATGCAGATTCGTTCATAGCTTCCCTTCCGCTTGAAGCAAACACAAGTTAGTCCTTTACCAATCCAAGCAGGGGTACCACATGTTGAAGCATCTGCATAAAAGCAATCAGTGGAGTTCCTCATTCAAGCTTTTGCTTCAGCCAAAACAATATTGAATCAAAAGAAAGATCCTTTTTTACAAGTTGGGCATCAGCAACCGAACTGAATCATCAAATCAATTCCATTAGACAGTAAACAGTAAAAAGCAATTCCCTCGCATAAATAAATGTCTTTTCAGATGGAATCGATCAAACAGAAACAGTAATCAACCGAATGGAAGGGGACATAATCAAGTTGTGTATAGGGGAGGTGTAGTAATTTGAATAGTGCGCGTTGTCGTCTTTTGCCCGACAAACTTAAAGCAAAACGACATAGACCAGCAATGAGCTGGGATGCTCGGACCATTGAAGTGGGACCCCAACCGACCACGTGGGTAAGATTATACCGTGTGTCCATCTGAGAAATTGATCCTCTTTTCTGTCTTCTTTCCATATTGGCAAGTTTTTGAATGAGCTGGTAATACGCCCTCCATGTTTACCAGATTTTCAGTGGGATAAGATCAAAAGCTAAAAACAACAAAAATAAAAACCCCCAAAAAAACCCCAAAAAAAAAAAAAGAAAAAAAAAGAAGCCAATGCATTGATATATGTAGCTTCACAGGGAGCCATCCTCTTCGCCAAGCCGAGGGATCGTCTCACATAGGCTTAGGTCTGCACAGAGGCGGGCCCCACTACCCTTGGCATGGATTGTTGACGATTGATTAAAATATGTGCGCCTCAGTTTCTCCCCAGATAAGTCCCAAATTCCATTGTATCCGGCACTAAATTGATTTAATCTGTCCCTCTGTATTTTTTTTATCATGCAGTACGTAAAATATTATCATCCCCTCTGCATTGGATACTCCAAAACACTATATCATTAATTATTTTTTCCCCCTCTCTGACCACAACGAATACCCAAATTACAGGAAGCAAAGAATCAAGCCGAACGAACCGAGAAACAATCATGGACGAACCAGCCAAAAAAGGAATCCAATGCAATTCTAGATATCGTCTGTTAATTAAAATCAACAAAACAAAAAAAAGATCAATACAGGTAAACGCGAGACGGAGGAAGAGTAGAGTACTACCTGAAGCGTGAGTGAAGCGAGAGACGGAAGAAGAAGAGAAAGAAAAGGCGTCGGAGGTGCGGTGGAACCTGACAATGGTCATGACATCTCAGGGCTGAATCAATCGATCGGAAACGGTTTCTGTGGTGGCCGGCGGAATCAAATCATACGGACTTATTATTTCTTCGCGGTTACAAGTCTGCAAAGAACGAACACCAGTAGTAGTACTGTTATTATCCGAGCGTCGTTTCTTTCTGTCTCGACAACTCTGGGCTTCAATCACTAAATCACAAATTGAGCCTTTTTCTTCAGGAATTTTACAGTTATCTTCGCGAAGTTCTTTTGAATGAACCGGATTTCCCCCCACAATGTCATTTATTTTTCCTTTAAAATTAACAGGATTGCCCCGGTAAAATCATACCTTTATGCCGTTGCCTATAAAAACATAAAAAACTAAATCAATCACCATAAAATGTAATCATATATTTATTTATTGCACCCCTCATTTTAAAATTTAAATGGGCATAATTCGTTCAAAATATATCTAGTTTAATAATTTTAATTAGAGTAAATTACAAAGATAGGTCGTTGCCCCTTTTTAACACACATAATATTTTCTTTATCATATTTTATTGCTTTAGTGAAGTCAGCTTTTTGTTGTTTATTATTCAAAAATCAAATAATGTAAGAGCTCCTTTAGTACGCTGAAAATCTTGCGATGAAAGAGAAAAATGTTGATCTTTCATCGATTGCGCGCTTGGTTGAAACATCTTTCTGGAATCTATTTTCTGGTGGTAGCAAATTTTTCAATAAGGATCGATTTTCCATCACAGGCGAAAAAATGCAAAAGACTAAATTGTCCTTCAAAATTAAATAAAATGCTCAGTATCTGATAGATGAAATCATATGAAGTTACTTAAACACCCAATACATCATTGGATTTTCATCTTTGCCATATGTTTATCTATTTTGTGACTGAGTTGCTCAACCAACACATATGGATTGGCCAACAAGTATCACCCTTTATTCAATAAGCTTTCTAACAACACCTACTACAATAAAAAATGCTTCCATATAAACTAGATATGATTTTTCAAGTATGATTCAAAATGAATTTAAATTTTGCGCGAAAACTTAAAATGTATCATGTATAAATTAAAATTTATTGATACACAGTCTATTTTGCATTAATAAACTCTTGGTCAAACTTTAAGTTGCAAGAAAGAAATTAGAATATTCAAATTTGATGGAAAAAAAGTTGAATTTGCTACATCAAATTTAAATTTTTTTTTGAGTAGATTTAAATTTGATGTTAGACAATTTAAATTTCTTACATCAAATTCGAATTTACCAAGTTATGAAATCATCACTTCACAAACTGAGGGTTTTTCTTTAGCATACCTGAAAGTAATATTTAATGTTTTTTGGCTCACACGAAATTCAGTTGTGGAGTTAGACTTGTGGTCTTACAGCAAATACATCGAGAGGAAAGATGCAGAGAGTATTCGTAAATTGCTCAAACTTATGAATGGGAGTCCGTTGTGTGTAGTTATATTCACAAAGAAAGATAAATGGCACTTGACTCTGAGCTTCTTCCCTCCTGTAAATAGATTTTTGAAAGAGTAGTTTTTGTAATAAAAGTGATTTTGTTAAAGTAAGAATGTTTGGATGGTTGTTATTATAATCATTTTTTTAATATACAAATTACTAAAAAAGACATAAGCTAATAATATAATTACAAGAAAAAAATATATTTTAATTTATATTTTTATTTGAAATAATAAATTTGCAAAGAATAAATGGTACATGAAAAAATATAATTAATTAATATTACCTCAAGTCCTTAATATAAAAGCTAATTAGATATTCAATTTGAATTCTAATATAAGACCCCAATTTATTATTTCACACATTTATCTATTTTTTTCAAAGTAATACTCATGTTAATTTGCACATCTTAAAAATTTCATCAAATAGTAATCTCAATGCACATGATTAACAAATATTTTATAAATAGCTAATTTATCAAATTTTTTTAATATTGACAAATTAGTTATCTAATTCTTGTATTAAAGATTGGAGGTAGTAATTGATATATATATTTAAATAATATAGGATTAAGATATATTTTTATATCCTAAACCATGGTTTTATATTCCAAATCATGGTTTTCAATTCAAAAATGATTTTGCAAAAAATTCTGGTGCTTGGCTCCCTTTTTCTAAACCATAATTTTCAATCAAAAAGTAATTTTTGCAAAAAATTGGCATGTTTGGATGGCCAGTAGGATCCCCCTCCATCATTTTACCTCCCAAACCATGATTTTGCTTGCTACCAGAAGCCACAATGATGTAACTTAATTAAACTTTCCTTGAAGACCTTAAAATTCGCAATCAGATATAAAAAGATGTATACAACTATTTGATGAATGTTTTTTTAAAGATTGGATGAAAAACTATGGAAGAGTAGCTTCTGAAAAAAAGTTATTTTGAAAATAGATTTTTAAAGAACAGATTTTGTGAAAACAGTAATTTTGATAAAGTGAGAATATTTAGATAGTTGTTATTAGAAACACTTTTGTCATGTACAAATTACTAAAAAAACATAAGTTGATATGATAATTATATAATAGATAGATTTTAATTTATATTTTTATTTAAAATAATAATTTTTTTAATAATTTTTTTTGCCAATATAATAAATAAAATATAAAAAATATAATTAATTAATAATTAATATTTGTACATATATGTTTATAAAATATAATATTAAATATGTTTTAAAAAATGACTATTTTCTTGCCAACAGAAAAATATTATTTTACCTTAAAGATTTTAAACATGAAATCCCATAATATTTTTTTACAAAATTAAATAAATATACATAAAAAGAATTTATTAATTATATAACTAATTAATAATTGGTGTGTATATAAAATATAAGATTAAATAATCAAGTGTCATAATAATTGTGAGGTTGCAACAATGTACAAGATTTGTACAAGTAGTTTTTTTAACAATATATTACAATGTAAAAAGAAAAGAAAATAAAAAAGACATAACTATTAGTCTTGTGTATAATAAACAATTTTATTTGACACATACTGTTAGCCAGCCAACCTTTAGAAAGCATTTTTTTTTTAAACTTTTTGTGAAACCATGGTTTAGCTAGGCCAAACCATGGTTTCATAAAAGTGTGGGGTATTTGGTAATTTTTTGAGCCAAACTATGGTTTGGGCTCTAAAAGTACTTTTGACTAGTCTGTCAAACACATCTTGTAAGTGAGCCACTAAAGCACTTTAACTTGACAAATTAACCGAAATTGAATAATAAGTAACTGAAGTTTTTACATTATTTCTATCTACCAAACTTAAATAAGGCTCCTGCATGTAGTTTTCGCGAGATAGAGCGGTTAAAAGTAACATCTTGATTTTTTTTTTCCTTTTTAGCAATTACATACTTAGTATAAACGTGAAACAATGAAGTGTTGAGAGCAGCTACTTGAATTAAAAATGATCATTAGACTTGGTTAAGGCCTGAGACACTTAGTAATTAAAGAAAATATGATTATAAAATTAGAACCTTGGATTGCTGTTGATATCCAATGGCCGATAAGACTAAATAATCCTTATTTTGCGACGAACATAATGAGATTGAAGACTAGTGTTGTCTCTATTGATATCCTCCATCGAAAAAGACACATTATTATAAGCACGTTCAGCCATGAATAAAAACTTGATCTGACTAGTAAACTCTTGTGTGCTTATAATAGGATAAGATTTCTGAAAGAACTTCCAAGTCCGAATTAAACCTAAAAATCTAATATAAGTACATGTGAAATTCACTGAAACAAAAGGAAGAAGTGAAAGTTTGGCGGTTTTAAGGTTGCTTTACTAGGGTTTCAAGATTCCAAGACGTGGGAGGTGTTTTGAAGCATCAAATCAATTAGGTAAGATCCCTAAACTCAAACCTAACCATTGGATCTTAGGTTTTTCTGGTTTTTGGGGAAGAACTTGATGGTGGGTTTGATGGTTTTGTGAGATATGGAGTTGTCTTGATTGATTTGAGTTTTGATCAGTAATTTAGAGCTGTTTTAAAGTTCTAAAAGAATTGAAATGGGTGTATTGTTGAGGTCTAAGTTGTAGGTGTTGATTGAGCAAACCCTAGATTATGAGTTTCAGGGTTTTGACAAATTGGAAGATTTAGCTGTTTTTCTTGTTTTTAAAAAATTAGTTGAGCTTTGAAAAAAAAAAAAATCACTTGCACTAAGTCAGCAGTGCCAAAAAGAAAAAGCTTTTTACATAGGTTAAAAATGGCCTTTTAGACTAGTTACAATAGTGAGGTTTAAAATGCCCATTTCTTAGAGGGTGTTTGGGTGGAAACCAAATCATAATTTTAAAAGTGATTTTGGGAGTATTTGGATAGAAACCAAACCATAATTTTAAAAGTGATTTTACGATATATAAAATAAATATGTAAAGAAATTTATATCGATTTATGAAAAAAATACTTTTAGCAAGTATTTTTAAGGATATCCAAACACCCCTTTTATGATATGCAAAGTAAATATGTAAAAAGTTTATTCTCGATTTACGAAAAAATATTTTTTAAAAGTATTTTTAGGGTGTCATAAATGCAAAAAGTGATTTTAGGGAGTGTTTCCAAACACCCCCGCCCACACAACATGAGCCTATATGAGATTTTAAAAAGGAGGCATTTTTAAAGTGGAACTAGTTTAGAAAAGAAATTTTAAATTGATGCAATCCAAAAGTTGGGGTCTTTTACACTTCATGAGGCCACATGTGGTTTAAAAAGTAGAATTTTTAAAATCGAATTTGAGCATAATCCGTTTGATCTTAAAATAGAGATTTGGAATTCTAGGGTTAGTATGAATTAGCTCCTTAAGCATTATATTGATGAGTAATCATTTTGTATTTTTGTAGATTTGTACATATGAATTGTTGTAATTGAGAGTCCTGAAGCTTCAGTATTTACTAAGCTAAAGGGTATGATAACTTTGGTTCATTGTCTCATGTGCTTGTAAATTTTAGTTTTTATAACTTTTGAATTATGGAAATGTCTTGAGGCTGATTGTTGGTTTCCCTAGATGATTAAAATTAATGTTTGAATTCATAAGCTATGATTTTTAATGACTTGATGTATCATAACTAACTTCTGTAACATTTTTTTTTTGCCGTGCATAGGTATTTTTTTATTAAAGATAATTCTATTCGAGATATTATGAGACATTAAATGTGGCCCTCTTTCTTGTCA